GTCGAGGCAACGGAGGGGACGCCCGCAGCCGCTTCTCTCCGTCCCCGGGACCTCCATGGCCTTCAATGCAGGGAAGTTGCAAAGCTTGCGCTCGATGAGGCGGCCGCCAGCATGGATCTCCTCTTCTAGGGCAAGCTCTACCGCGACAACGGAGCCAGTGCCAGTGACCATGGTTGAACCCTCCTCAAGTTCCTCCGCTCCCGTACCCGCTTCACTGTTGTGCTGCTATCGTCGTCGGTTGCCCAGCGGCCTCTCCACCACCTCCCATCTCCCTGCCTCTCTGCTAGATCCAGAGGATACGGTGGATGCCCTCCATGAGCTAGCAGAGGGCACCTCTCCACCGCCTCAAGCCAACCTCACCGCTGCCTTGTTGTCTCCGACACCCTCCTCAGACTGGCCCTCACCGTCGGTGCTATGTCTGTGGCTCTGTCTTCCTCTCACCAATAGAGAAGCAGAGAAGGGAGAGAAGGAGAGAGAGAAAAACCAACGCTGACAAGCGGGTCCCACTGGTTTTATTTGTTTTTGCTGACTGTATCACCCCGTGTATGCCATGTAGGCTGAAAACCACTTTGGTTTTTGTTAGGGGGATAATTTATCCATATTCAAGGGTTTAGGGTGTCAAATGTCTGGTATTGTAGTTCAGGGAGGTAATTCGATCGACCTCAATAGTTCAAGGGGGTAATTCGTACTTTTCCCTTTACAATTACTTCCTCAGTTTTATATTATAAGACTTTCTAACATTGCATACATTCATATATATGTTAATGAATCCAGACATACATGTGTGCTTAGATTCATTAACATCTATATGAATGTGGGCAATACTATAAAGTTTTATAACCTGAAACGGAGTTAGTATCTATTTTATACATGTATTCCTGTCAAAATAACAGGGATTTTCTATTTTTCTGCTTTTTCAATCGTGTGTTTCAAAGGAGCCATTATGTTGCCTAAACTCGAAGTTTTGCTATTGACAAAAGATTGATCCTATAAGTTCTCATCAGTGAGCTTGTTTTGTACAAAATGCCATCGCAGTTACGTAAGTGTTTTCCTTCCATTTTTACCATCATCGTTAGCTTTTCGTCAAATACACTACGTTACCGGCTTACCGCGTCAAAAAAGGCCCATAGTACCCTTAGAAGTGTATGGCCAAAGCTAAAGAAAAAATCTCATATGGGATTCATACTCAACACAATCCAACTTTACATGTTAGGTATATATCCTTTTTATGATATATGTATTTATCGTTTAAACTATTTTGAAAATGTTAATTATTGATTTCATGTCACGTACTTTGACTTTTCATGTACATTGCATGCACTTTGACTTTTCATGTACATTGCATGCATGAATTAGGCGACAAATAAGATCATATCTCAATATTCCCAGTTTTGTATGTTTCCTCCCAATAGTTTGACTACAATAAATATAAAAATATCATTCCATTCTCCTCAGAAATTACACTAAGAGAATAAATAACAGTGGTAACCTATCATTGCCCTGTCTAAGAGAATTCTGTAAAATTAAAGTGTGGTTGATTATTAATTTGTACCATGTAAGATAATTGGTTTTGATATTTGTAGATAATAGATGAAGTGGTTTTAGGGTCGATCAGACTAGGGTTTGTGTACCGGTCAGACCTGACAAATATTATGAATTGTTTTCAGATGATGAACATGTGTTTCGGTTGTTTGGAGTCGGTCAGACCGGGCGCATGGCCGTTGGTCAGACCGGAGTGGAGCGAGCGGTTAGACCGGCCATCCCGACGGTCTGACCAAACCGACTTTGTGCCGGTTTCGGTTTCAAGTTGTTTATTTGGATATCCGTGATTAATTCATGCTTATGGCTTCTAGATGGATACTATACGTGTATAATACTGTTGTGTGCTAATGTTGATTCAAGTTGGAGAGAACATGTGCTCGGATATGGTTTCTTTATTGGTTCATGTGTAGGTGTGTCGGGGTTAGGGATAAGGCATAATCATGAGATATACGGATACGGTATATCCACAAATATACGGAAAGGAACCGTATAAAATAAAGAAATAGTATTTGCAAAAGTAGAAATAACATAGTCCTACTCGGAGAAGATTAGGATACTATCTAGTCGTACGGGGTCCGTTGTCTCCGAGTTCTACATGGAAACTAAGGTGATCCACGGTATAAACACTAAGCCCCTGAGGTGTACATGGCATCGAATCTTAGTGCAAGACATCTGCCACCACAAACGCAATCCGGAGAACTTGAAGCCTACTCGCCAATAGATCTCGTCGACCTCCCCTCAACGAGGATCTCGGAGTTCAGTTGTTCTCTATTGTACTCTGTGGTTTCTTCCATAATCCCCCGTATAAACTGGATTAGGGCTACTACCTTATGAGGGGTCTGAACCAGTATAATCCTTGTCTTCTTATGTGCTTGGTGTCGTATCGTGTAGATTCTCATACCAATGTACCTCAATACCCTTCGAATACGGTCAACGGGTATCCCCCATCAACAGGGTGAGTCTTGATGCCTGATGAGAGCGTTGTCGGTGATGGATCATGAGTCAACTTGGGAGAAGATGACATCCGAACGATCAAGGTATCATGCGCGTAGTTGGTGAAGATTTTATATGGCATACGACGGAGATGTTGTGTGCGTATGGATGCGGAGTCGAATTTGGAAGAAGTCCAAATTTGGTATGATTGGAGTTTGTAAAGTTTGTTTCTTGTACGGGAAGATTTCCTAGGGGATTAAGACTTCTTGTACAAGTTGGTTTGTGGCTTTAGGCTGTCTACCTCAGGTATAAATAGAGCCTTCCAGCTTCAATTTTGTAAGAGTTGAGTCTAGAGAAAAGTTAGGGTTTTGAGTTTAGTCGAGATTTTTGTGAGGAGAGTTGTTGTTGCACTTTGTAAATATAAATAGAAGTAATAAAGTTTCAAGGCCTCTTTGGTAGAGCTCCAACTCCTAAATTTAGCTTAGAGTTGGGTCTGGAGTATAGTTGTGGAGCAGCCTAAACCCAGCTCCTCCTCTCTAGTTCATTTTGTGACAGTGCTCCACCCAGCTCCGCTCCCATTTTAGGTGGAGTTGAAATTGTTTGGTTTGACTCCAGCTCCAGGAGAGGTGGAGCTGGAGCTGGAGTTGTGCCAAACAGGCCCTGAATTTATTTTGAGAGATCTTCAATTTGTGTTTGCTCGGATTCGGTGATCCAGCTGATGGGACACTGGCGGTTAGACTGATGGCATCGGCCCGGTCAAAACGACTGGACACTGGTGGTCAAATTGACAGCATCAGCCCGGTCAAACCGACGGGTTTATGATGGTCAGACCGGCGGCAGCAACAGGCGTTAGCAGGGCAATGCACAATCAGATCGAGCTTCACTACCGGTCAGATCGGAGGTCTTCGAGCCGTCAGACCGGTGCATCTACTCCGGTCAGACCAATCTATATCGAATTCGAGGGCAACTTTTAATTCCGCTAAAAGTTTTGGTTTTTGGGTACTACAACCATTCACCCCCCTCTGGTTGGTTTAGTTCTTGTTGTATGATCCTACAAATTCTACATAGTGGAGATAGTCGCACGTAATGACAGATCATGGCCATATTATGGTAAGAAGGGGTTCCGTTCTAGTGCCCGGAAATAATATTTGCAGAGCCAGTGTGGAAGGCCTATGTTATAGAGTATATAACTTTGATCGTAGGGATCAATTTCTAGTCGCATAGCTTCATAATAATTCTGCAATGCTTCATAATAATTCTGCAAAGCTTCCACATAATTTCCTTCAGATTGAGACAACATCTATTATGGTCGTTCATTCTATTTAATAAAAATCTCCGCTCCAAAACTATACTCCCTCCGTACTCGTAAAGGAAGTCGTTTAAAGATAATGTTTAAGTCAAACCTTGAGAGTATAAATCATGAATAACTCTCAAGTTGTTGAGTTTGAAAATGTAAAAATTATAAAATACTTTCGTAAAAGTATACATATATTATTTTTCAATAAATATTTTTATAGAAATAAGAAGGCAAAGTTGTGTTTTGGAGACCGTATCGTTGTCCAAAACGATTTCCTTTACGAGTATGGAGGATGTACATGAGGTTTTCACCTCATACGGCTCCTCATAGTAATAATGTAAAAATAGAATTAATTCCATATCATTAGTAGATCGTGCCGTTTAAAAATGATGAGACATGTTATCTGGAGTATACCAATTGTCAATGTTAGAAATGAAAACGGATATCGAGTATATGTGCAATTAATGCATAGTGTCCATGCCGACGTTTGACTAGAAAGAGATGCTTTCTCTCATCATCAATGATGGAGCCTGCTTTGTTTTCTTAATTTGTCATGATCTTTCATCCACAAATATCTCTTGAAATTTGAAGTATCGTTTAAAAGCATTTGCTTTTGATCAAGGAAAATAATAGTGAATTTAATAATTGTATACTTAAAAAAGCGGTTACTTTATCTCTATATAATAGCTCTAACTCCTCCAATCTCCTAGCCAAAGTAATCCATAGAATTCTCTCTCATCCCGATTATATTTTCTCTATAATTTTTCTTTAGATCTGTATAACAACTACATTATTATTTTTAGTTTGTGTGATCTCCATATTAGCCTTCTTACTACCCAACCCTCACTCTAATTATAATACCATTATTTGGCACCGAACTTTATCAAATCAAAGTATTGAAGAGATCTTTTATTCATCATCATCACTATCACGAGTTCACGACCGCCATCGATCTCCTTATCTCAGAGTATCTCAGATCTGAAAAAGTACTTACCTATATTATTATTTCCCTAATTTCGGGCTGAAAAATCTTTCCAAAAACAAGAAGAGCAAACCCCATAACAAAATCCGATCTCCGGCAGTTTCCCCAAATTTTGTTCGAATATATAGTTTCCAAAGGGGCAAATAACGGATTCCATCTCTTGATTTCTACTACCACCGTTCGCATGGAAAGAAAAATAAATAAACAAATAAAAAAACCCCCAAAGAAAATCCCCATCACCTCGTCTTCCCCACCATTTCTCTCTCCTCTCTCCTCTCACTACCCCCAAAGCAGCAGCAAGCGGCATCAGCAGCGAGCACCCAAGCTAAGCCAGCAGCAGCAGCAGCAGCAGCCAAGCCAATTCCCCCAAATCGCCTCCTCCCAAATGCGACTCCTCCTCCTCCCCTGACGAAACCCTCCCCCTCCGCCTCCGCCTCCGCCATGTCGCTGCAGCCGCCGGCGGTGGAGCCGCCGGAGTGGCTGCGGACGCTGCCCGTGGCGCCGGAGTACCACCCGACGCTGGCGGAGTTCGCCGACCCCATCGCCTACATCCTCAGGATCGAGCCGGAGGCGTCCCGCTACGGCATCTGCAAGATCGTGCCCCCGCTCCCGCGGCCCCCCGAGGACGACACCTTCCGCCGCCTCCAGGCCGCCTTCGCCGCCGCGGCCTCCTCCAATGGCGACCCCTCCCCGACCTTCCCCACGCGGCTCCAGCAGGTCGGCCTCTCCGCCAGGAACCGCCGCGCCGCCAGCCGCCGGGTGTGGGAGAGCGGGGAGCGCTACACCCTGGAGGCGTTCCGCGCCAAGGCGGCCGAGTTCGAGCCCCCGAGGCACGCCGCGCCGCCCAGGAACCCCACCCACCTCCAGCTCGAGGCCCTCTTCTGGGCCGCCTGCGCCTCCAGGCCCTTCAGCGTCGAGTACGGCAACGACATGCCCGGCTCCGGCTTCGCCTCCCCCGACGAGCTCCCCGACGCCGCCAATGCCACCGACGTCGGGGAGACGGAGTGGAACATGCGGGTGGCGCCCCGCGCCCGGGGGTCGCTGCTCCGCGCCATGGCCCGCGACGTGGCGGGCGTCACCACCCCGATGCTGTACGTGGCCATGCTCTACAGCTGGTTCGCCTGGCACGTGGAGGACCACGAGCTCCACAGCCTCAACTTCCTCCACTTCGGCAAGGCCAAGACCTGGTACGGCGTCCCCCGCGACGCCATGCTCGCCTTCGAGGAGACGGTGCGCGTCCACGGCTACGCCGACGACCTCAACGCCATCAGTGAGTTGTCCTCAGTCTCCTCCTCCTGCTGCTTTTACTGTTCTTCAGTTTTCTTGCCTGATGAAAGAAAAGGTCGCATGGGTCACCACCCCTTTTCCTTTTGACGCCCAAGAGTCAAAACCTTTTCGTCAGAGAATCTTCACACACCATTGCTAAATTTTTACCGAAATGGGAATTTCTTTTTTTCCTGAAAATATTATGGTGGTTAGTGTGTCGACTACTACTCCAGGTGAGCCATTATGTGACTGCAATAGCTTGTAAATTAAGTAGAAATTGTTGTCCTTTAGAGAAACTATATATGAGCATCATTACTAAGCCTTTTTAGTTACTGAAGCTGTGGACCTAAATACTAAGCCCTCTGCTAGTGTGACTCATCTTACTTCTTAGGCAAACAGGAATAAAGAAATAGCTGATAGTTGCAATTCAGCGAATACAGTAGTCATTATGTTTATGTGATCTGCCACCTGGTTGATTTGCTCATCCACAAACACTAAGAAACAAATTTATGGAGCTATGGAAATGTTGCCCCAATCTGGTTTAACAAAGTATCTGATGCATTGGCCTATTATTAAACCCTTAGAAATCGTAATGATAGGGGATTTCCTTGAAAAGAGAGTATTATAGTGTATTTGTAAGATTCAGATTTGGCTTGACAACCGATTCTACTAGGATTGGACTCCAAGGACATGCAGACATGCAAATTAGAATTTAGAATTACATGTAAAGGGTCTCTACCCAGAGTCATAATGTACATCCTGTTTGGATCCTCCATGTTCAGTTTTAAGATGAAGATGTCTATCCAAGATTCTGCTACATTTTTGTTTACTTCATTTAATGAGCAAGATTAAGGATGCCCTTAACAAGAATGTTGCAACTAAATCCTCCATGATCATGCATATCAAATTTCCTCCACATGTCCTCATCTGTATGTCCCCAAATGTCCCAAAGATATTTGTAACAGATCACTAATATCTTCTATTAGTCATTGTTGTCCTCATCAGTATGTTATCATGTTGCCACGCCACATCAGTCAATCGGGAGCTACTCTCACCATATTTGTTGGTATACTACTCTAGCGTGCCAGCTGTGCTCCTCTTCTGCCTAGTTTCTGTGATATATCCCTTGCCAGTTGCAGTGACTTGGAAAATCATTTTTGGTTGATTTACTTGTGTTTGATTATGTAGACATGAATGTACTACCACAATTTGTTTACTTGAGATTTTAATTTATAATTTCTGTTTGGTCCTTGTAAAAAATTTAATTTACTACCACCTTGTAAGAACCATCAAAATATATCCAATTCTCAAGGTCTTAGGACACCCTAAAAGACCTTAAAGCAACACTCATACAAGTACCAGATGAGATTAGTGCGAAAAATATAGGGGCATGGAAGCAATTGTTGTAGGCTTATACTTTAGGAGATCCTTATGAAAGATAACTCTGCACTCAATGCAATAGTAGGCATAATAAAGGTGGCAACAAAGACCTAGCACAATGTCTGGTGAGACCTTGGGTCTGTATGGATGGAACATTTCTTTTACTGTGAACGAGAATTTAGTTATCTTTTCATATAGTGACAGATATTCCAAACCTCTGATCTGATGATATTTGTATCACTTCCAATTCTGCATTGGATGAACGAATGCTTTATTTGTTGTCAGGAGGTAATGTTCTTTCTTTTCACCATCGTATGGTTGTGATATGTCATATGTGTTTATGCTAATAAAAAGGAGATGGAGATGATGATGCGGTGATTTCTTAATCATGATACATTGCGGTGCCAAGCAGTGAAGGTAGTCCATTGATAAGATCTTCCATGAGAGGGAGAGTGCAACAGTGCATATTTTTTTAGGTTGATTATAAAAAAACAATTCTAACCTCGGTAAATGAATGGTTAGATTCAGTTGCCCACCTTGTTTGTTTGTTTGTTTCGGTAACTCTTTAATTACTGTAAAAGTTTCTCTCAATTTCAGATTTCATTTGATACTAAATCCTGGATGGGTCAAATGAATCCAGTAACAGCTTACCAATGTAAAAGATTTGTAACCTTGAGCAGATCACAGTTCATTATTAGATCATGAGCAGGAGAGAGACACTCTAAAGCTTGGGTTACTTTATATGATTCTTGAATCTGGATAAACCTTTACTCGGTTATAAGTTAATGAAGTGGAGAGGAAAATACTTTATTAATAAGTTATGACTTTTTGAAGTTTTCCTAAGTTGAACAAGCTTACGTGGTTTTTCCAACTCGGTGTTAACCACATAGTTATAGATGTGGTTGTCTAGAGAAATTTCATTGACAAGATGTAATGTTGAATACTCAAGTAAGAATTGCCTCTGATGATCAATGCACTAATGGATTACTTATATCCTATGACTTGCAGTGGCCTTTCAAACGTTAAATGAGAAGACAACTGTCTTATCTCCTGAGGTGCTTCTTTCTGCTGGTGTTCCCTGCTGCAGGTATACCCACATTTCATAATGCCCTTGTTTGGGATATTTACTCTATGACATTATTTTGAGTATCAAGTATAATGTTTAAGAGATATTTCTCCAAAGCAGATTGGTTCAAAAAGCGGGAGAATTTGTTATCACATTCCCTGGAGCTTATCATTCAGGCTTTAGCCATGGTAGGTCATCATGCCCATATCATAGAATGAGTAGTGGAACATATTATCTCCCTTGGAGAAGTTATCTGTTTGGTCCTATATGTATTGTATTGTTCACATCTTCGACTTACTATTCTACAGTGAAGGCTACAAATTTTGGCTAACTCAAGAAATGGAACTCCATCCTTGTTTTGTAGAGAGCTAGCTACTTTCATTTGGTGCCCTTATGGTTTTATTTAGATCTGTTCACAACTAAAATGCCAGCGCAATACCATATAGTGCCAATCAAATATATTTAGAAGGCGGCTATATTTATTTTAAAGTGCTTTAATACATATGGAGTAGTCATATTGTTCTGCACACTTAGTGGAAGATACTGTTTTCAATTTCAAATAATTAAAATTTAAAAGCACTCAAATTATCATTTAGATATGTCCCTCTTAATTCCCTGTTTAAATCAAAACTTGCCGTCAGACCATCATGAATTGTGTGATCACATGTTTAGTTGCCTGGATAGATAACCATGCAGTGTTACTAGCTGTTGATGGCATTTCATATGCCCTAGATGCACAATATCTCCTTTGGCTATGGATCCAACTATCCAAGGTTTCTGTAATGAGATGCTCAAATTTGGTCTGTTTTTGTAAACCATGCAATCAGAATGTCACCCTTGCACAAAAAAGAAAAGAAAAACACAACCATGCATACTAGTTGATATGAGAGAACACGAAAATTAGGTTAGGTTTCATCATTTCAATGCTATAGCATTGTTGGTTTTCTAACATTATCACCTTTGTTATGTACTCCCTTCGTTTTGCAATATGTCATTTCAGAATGGCTATCCACTGAGTAAATCAAGAGTGGGGAGATTAAGTGCCTGTGGCTTACCATACTTTACAACCTCGCATGTACAACAAGCTGCTAATCTAGGCACTTAAGATGAAAATTAACTACCTTTAATGACACGCTGGTGTTTTGGAAACGACTGGCCGTCAAGCCTACTAGTTGGCGCCTCGACTCAAGCAATATGCATAAATACAGTTTTGCCAAAGAAACTAGTGCTTCAACCTAGCTATTGCATTGGAGATTGAGGTTGTTTGGATTGTGCGTAATTGGTTTGGACAGAGATGAGATAGTAACAGTACTGGTGCCCTAAAAACTGAAAACTCATTAATCCCCGAATATGGAACTTCATTAATGAATATTCTTCATGAAAGGAAACATGTCTAGAGTTGCTCAATTGAACTCTACTGCCTTCGATGATCATTTTGTGGTCTTTAATCCTAAGGCCCGAACTTGATTGATTGAACTTGGTATGATGAATTTCTATTATTTATGTAAGTTGATTGATCTCATAGAAGTTGCTTTTATTAAATTACAGACCTTTTGAGACTGAATTAGGCTTTTAAGCATTTTGGTCACTCAAACATCATATCCTGAACTGAACTCAAACCTGATTAGTTAACATGGTATGCACATTAAATAGAAAAATATGAAACCATTTATCTGCCTGCAAATCAAATTCAAAAGTCGCATCCCCAAATTGTTGAAAACAAATGCTGAATGATCAATGAATAGAGGTATTTGGTTCCATCTACTCGTTAGTTTCATGTATTCCAGCCACAAAATGGCTGTTCTATGTCTGAGAGTTTACCATTTTCTCTGTGTTCTTTGAACAGTTATGGTTACTGGTTCTTGTAAAGGATCTTGGTCCCTATGAATAAAATATGTTGTTTAACTTTTTCGCTTCTGCAGGATTTAATTGTGGGGAAGCATCAAATATTGCAACTCCCCATTGGTTACAAGTGGCTAAAGAAGCTGCAATCCGGAGGGCTTCAACTAATTGTGGTCCGATGGTGTCTCATTATCAGCTGCTTTATGAGCTAGCACTCTCATTGCGTCCAAGGTGTGCTGCACTAAAATATGAGGCTAATCCTTACATTAAAATACTGGACGACATCACCTTTATATCTTTATTTTAAATGCACTAAAATAACTAGATATCTTGTTTGGATTCAAATGATCCATGATGGAGGCCTTATAATATCTTTAATTAAACTGGATAGTGGTTGGTGTTGTTGTATGTGTCTGTAATTTCCTATAGGTATTGGAATAATGTAGTTGAATTTATTTTGAAACATTCATTTACAGGGAGCCTAAGAATTTCTATTCTGTTCCAAGAAGCTCACGTTTAAGGGACAAGAATAAGAATGAAGGTGATATAATGGTCAAAGAAAATTTTGTTGGAAGTGTAACCGAAAACAACAATTTGCTTAGCGCCCTTCTGGATAAGAATTCTTGTATAATTGTTCCAAACGCTGATTTCTTCGTTCCATCCTTTCCTGTTGCACTGGAATCTGAAGTTACTGTTAAACAAAGGTTTACAGCTGGTCCCTGCAGTATTAGCCAGCAAGGAGCAGAAAATATGGCTGCTGATCATGTGGCTGTAGACAAGGTTACAGAGATTCAGGACATGAGTGGATCCTTATATCCTTGTGAAACCAGTCTTGTGGGCTGTAGCAATAGAAAACTTTATGAAACAAAATATGGCCAACGGGATGCTGCTGCTTTGTGCTTATCTACTTCAGAGATTCAGAGCAGAGGAATTGATACAGCAAGATCACATCCAGCAGGCGGGATCTTAGATCAAGGACGGTTGCCATGTGTACAGTGCGGAATACTAAGCTTTGCATGTGTAGCCATCATTCAACCTAGAGAAGCAGCAGTACAGTTTATCATGTCTAAAGAGTGCATCTCATCGAGTGCAAAACAAGGAGGAATTGGTGCATCTGATGATACCTCAAACTGGATTGACCAGAGTCATGAGATTAGTCCTCCACCAGGTTAGTAATAACAATCACTGTTACCTGATCGTTCTATGGTAGCCACTTGTCATTTCTTGGCACTGATCTAGCTGTGGTATTGTTTCATGATCTGGATAAAACTCCCTAATCGTAGTCCTCTTCACTTTTTGTCCGACTGGAGTTTGAAATCATCCTGGTATTTTTTGTTGCCATCATGTTAATCAGAATGTTTTCATTTATCATCCATATTAAATTTATTGTGTGAAAGTACCAAGGAATGTTGTTGGACCTTATTTGAAAGTGATTTTTTACATAGATAATAAATTGACCTAATGTAGCTTAATATCGTTTGATTTTGTATACTATTTGCAGCATAAACATTGTAGAACATATTCTCTTTCCTATTTTCTGAGGGTTATTCTTCAGTTGTCATACTGTTTTTCCCTAGGACAGTCAAGACTCAATTACTATATATTTATATGTTTTGCTTCAAATCACATGCCTCTACTGAACAAACAGAATCAATGCAACCATTGTAATATTCCAATACTCAAGTCCTGAAAATAAGTAAAGTGAAGGACTTCCTTTTATAATGAAGTCCGGTTTCTTTCTTCAGACTTTGGAAGTTACATTGTTGGTTTTATCTCTATCAACAGGTCCAGCATCTGGAACAGATGATAATGTAAAGCATGCCGTAAGTTTGGCCCATGTCTCTGATCGGTGTAGAGAACTATATGCCAGCAATACAGATGGATGCACCTCTGCTCTTGGGCTTCTAGCTTCTGCATATGACTCATCAGACTCTGATGATGAAACAACTGAGGATGTTTCAAAACATAGCAAGAAAAATGATTCAGTAAACCAAAGCACGGATCCTCAAATCTTGGAAACATCAGCTAGCTGTTCCAGTACAGTTCAGTGTCAAAAGACAAATTCACACTTGCATGAAGAGGAATGTGAGGCAAGAGCCACATCATTGATGAAACCTGTAAGCCATAATAGTAGGCCCATTAGTCAGTCTAACAGGGATACAGATATCGACCATTTTATAGAACTGGGAAAGTCAGGAACACAGTGTTCAGGTTATCTTGATTTGGTTGATGATCTAACTACATCAGTTTTAAAATCCTCTTCAGATACTTGTGTAAGTGCAGCTAAAGCCTCAATGGATCCAGATGTTTTGACCATGCTCAGGTACAATAAAGACTCTTGCAGAATGCATGTGTTTTGTCTTGAACATGCTTTGGAAACATGGACACAGCTTCAACAAATCGGTGGTGCTAATATTATGCTTTTGTGCCATCCAGGTATTTACCCTGTTTCCTAATTTCTGCAGAGTTCCTAGCCGTTTCCTGAATTATTTATCCTTCTTTGTGTCCTCTTCGTATCTTGGATTTGAGCAACAATTCAAAACTTTAATATTTGCATTACCGACTGATTAGTTGTTGGTGATTATGGCATGTTTTTGAGACATGTTATTTACATCAAGTATGCTGTTTTGTTTTGTTTTGTTTGGATTTTTCCAAAACAGAGAAAAAAAAACATGTGTTTACAACTACATGAGCAACTACACCAAGGGCATAAACTGCAGTGAGCTAATGAGACAATGACTTTTAGGAGTTCAAAATTTTCTGTGCATTTATGTCTATTTTTTGTTTAATTAACAGATTAGCTGTTTTAATTGTTCTTGTAAAATGAAAATGATTGTTTTTCGTTGGTAATTTATAATGTGTTTGCAGAATACCCTAGAGCAGAGTCAGCAGCAAAAGTCATAGCAGAAGAACTTGGTATCAAGCATGATTGGAAAGATATCACTTTCAAAGAAGCAACTGAAGAGGACGTTAAAAAGATTCAGTTGGCTTTACAGGATGAAGATGCTGAACCCACTGGCAGTGACTGGGCAGTCAAAATGGGTATCAACATATATTACAGTGCCAAACAGAGCAAATCACCACTTTACAGCAAGCAGATACCATACAATTCCATCATTTATAAGGCATTTGGCCAAGAAAACCCAGACAGTTTGACAGATTATGGATGTCAAAAGTCAGGCTCAACAAAGAAAAAGGTGGCTGGGTGGTGGTGTGGGAAAGTTTGGATGTCAAATCAAGTTCATCCACTTCTAGCTCGTGAGCGTGAAGAACAGAACAGTAGCGTAGTGTACGGCAAAGCAATGTTCACTACTATTTCCCATGGCAAAGTACAAGATGAAGCGTCAACAAGATGCAATACAAGCAACCGAACCCCATCAAGAAGAACATCAAGAAGAAAAAAGGGGGTATCTGCTGAGAAATCTAAACCAAAAAACAAGAGATCCACTGCTTCTGATGAAGCTAGTATGCTTTGCAGTGGCCTTGGAATGAACTCTGGAGTTATCCATGACCAAACTGAAAACTCTGATGATTATGACAAACATGGCAATGGAGATGAAATTGAGGAAGGAACAAATCCTCAGAAATATCAACAACGTAAATTGCAAAACGTGACCAGGAAATCAAGTTCTAAGAAGCGGAAGGATGAGAAAAGAACAGATAGTTTTCATGAACTATATGACGAGGATAATGGTGTGGATTATTGGCTTAACATGGGTAGTGGAGATGATGCCACACTAGGTAACTCTCGACAACAAAGTCCTGATCCAGTGAAAGTGAAATCTGGAGGCAAATTGCAAGGTAAGAGAAAATCTAGCAAGTACAAGTCCAATGATGATTTGTTGAATGAAGAAAATAAGTTACAAAAGATGAACAAAAAATCAAGCTCTAAGAAGCAAAAGAATGATAAGATAAATAGACAACTTCAAGAAGATCAAACCGAAGATGACCATATGGACCACTTAGTTGACGTAGCGGTTGCAGATGAAGTCACACTAGACAATGAGGATAAAATTACAGAAGACAAAATTGATGACGTGAAAGTGAAATCTAGAGGAAAATCGCAAAATGGTAAGAGAAAAGGCAGCAAACATCAGGCTACCGATGGTTTGCGCGCTGGAAATAAAGTGGCCAAATTTCCGTGTGATATAGAAGGATGTGACATGAGCTTCAGTACCCAGCAGGACTTGTTATTGCATAAGCGTGACATTTGTCCTGTCAAAGGATGCAAGAAGAAGTTCTTCTGCCACAAGTACTTGCTTCAGCACCGGAAGGTGCATATAGATGAAAGGCCACTTAAGTGTACATGGAAGGGGTGTAAGAAGGCATTCAAGTGGCCATGGGCGAGGACGGAGCACATGAGAGTCCATACGGGGGTAAGACCTTACGAGTGCCAGGAACCTGGCTGTGGTCAGACATTCCGATTCGTTTCAGATTTCAGCCGCCACAAGAGAAAGACTGGCCATTCCTCTGATAAGAGAAGAAAGAACAGTACATAACTTCTAACCGCTGTGCGCAAAGTACAGGTTTCTTCTCTGACGATGATCTGAAGAGGGATGCTAATTGAATAATTGCATCAGATTCCATTTATTGTGGGATTAGCCCACATTAGGAGTCTAATTCATTTCATTGTTTGCCGGCTCTGCATAACAGCCAATTTTTCAATTGCTTTAGGTCCAACTGACCTTTTGTTGACTAGGATTTACTCCCAAGTCAATTGTATCAACCGGTCTTCTGTTCATCCTGAAAAATCGGGAATTTCTCCTGTCACCATGGCTTTTAAAGAAGCATGTTAATCTGTTGTTAGCTGTTCCTTAATTTTTCCTTTTTTCTAAAATAAACTGTCAGCATGTAGTAGTTATTTGTTCCTTAATTTTGTGCACGTTTTGGTTCTGCAAAATGTTTTCAACTAGTTTAAATTTATTGGTTTGTTCTCAAAACTTATGATGCCTCGTTGAATTCTAGTTACTGAATGTTCTTGCTTTGGATTTCTTTTCGCTGAATTCAGTTTCTTTTCATCCTCTCTGCTGCCAACATATTTGATAAATCTGACAAAGTGAGAATGCAAGAACTGTATTTGTAGTAGTAGTAACTATCAGAGCAAGGAATAATGGTAAGAATCTTGGATGAAGAAATGTTACCCAAAACTCTTCAGGAGTAAATCGAATGGTAAGTTTTTGGGAAGGCAAATACGAGGTCCAACCTCATGTCTGTGACCTGCATTCTTCGGTTTTTGTGATTTTTTTTCAATGTTCATTATTTTTTGAACTTCTAAAATTAGTTTTAGAAGCAAAATTGAAAAGTTTGTTTTAAAATGAAACTTTTGGCCACTCCACTTCAAAGATAGTGTCATTGTGCGTGGTATGGCAATGTTGTCCTGCCCTCTGAAAATAAAGTTTGAGACGGTTTTCTTGAATTATATTTAAAATTCTAGAAAATGTATATTTGTTTTGTTATGTTTCCATTGTACTCTTGCCTACTTCCAAAGCCAAAAGGTTCAAATTTTCCGATTAATATCTCTATGCCGGTCCAATGCTAAACTAGATAACCGTGCACTGTGCCGAGCTGCCAATTGTCCATCCCCATCGATCGATTCGTCCTGTGGCTAGTGTCAGCATTACCATTGTCGATAAAATTTGACTTCTCCAGTTTACTTTAACGTTGTATTGCATTCTTCACTAAATAGTTAGATTATTACATACATGAAAATTCCTGACTGATTGATAATCTTTTTCATAGAAATAATATCATTTCCAACCGTTTTTATATCTAGATGAAACGTTTCCTAGAATTGGGGTATTTCTTAAAATATAGCATATGATGTAGTCACGAGTCACGGATAATTGGGGTACAATAAGAATTCCTTGTGAACTTAATATTTATTATAGAATAAAGTAATTCTATCATTATCTCTACAACTGCTTTAAAAGCGCAATCGTTCTCCTTCCATTTTCTCCCATTGCACGAACGAGGTCATTCTTTAAGCAACCTCTAACAAATCCAGTGCTTTATCGTCAATCCACTCATCCAACCAATCCCCATTCATATGGGCTCTGATCTATCACCAAGTAATAAATAGGGTATAGCGGGTTGGTAGCGGATTAGTGTCTGAGTAGCGTATTGCGAGTGCTATTTTGGATGCTAAGTTCCAATAGCGGAGTAAAAAAACCGATATAAACATAAAATTTCACTTAAAATTTAGAATTTAGACTACATACTTAATTACCCATGCATTTCATAACATAATGAAATAACATATAAATATATAAGATAAAGAAGACACACGATGCTAAGTTATCATATCCATGTGTGAAGAATATCATTTAAGCATTATAGTGGTCTAATAAAATCAATAGCGGGTTGCTATAGCAGTCACAACTCACAAAGCATTATAGCAGGCTGCTATTGCAGTCGTAAAATGCTATAGCGGTCGCTAAATTCCAACGTGCTATCTTTGGTCCGCTACTGCTACAGCGGCCATTGCAAACGCTATTTATTAGCTTGCCTGCCACCTGTTGCATAGTACAGAAGATGTTTTCATATAAGGGGTTGGCAAAAAATTTTACTCCTGCATGTCACATCGGATATATGGAGACACATTTGAAGTATTAAACATAGTCTAATAACAAAACAAATTATAGATTCCACCAGAAAACTATGATACAAATTTATTAAGCCTAATTAATCCGTCATTAGCAAATGTTTACTATAGCACCACATTATCAAATCATGACGCAATTAGGCTTAAAAGATTTGTCTCGTAATTTTCTAGCGAATTATGTAATTGGGTTTTTTTTTTTACATTTAATACTCCATGCATGTGTCCAAACATTCGATGTGACAGCGCGAAAAATTTTGTTTGGGAACTAAATAGGCCCTAAGAGCAATATCGACTTTCCATCTTCAGCCATAGAATGTGCCAGCCACATCATACCAACCCATGATAGATTGAAGGAGAAACATAGCGTCAAATTACACCGTTTACCTCAAACCTAGATTTTCAAATGATAAACAAGGTTCCAATACATCTGTAATTTGTACACATGAAAAAATGGGTACATATCTGGATTCCTTTAGAAAATTCCAATTAATTTAGTTAGCGCCTACTGGGGTAGTAACAACAAAATTTCTCTGCCAAGGACCTGCTCCCCTTCAACAGTAATCAGGCAGCTCAACAGAAAGAGTGACTTTGATAGCCTTCACATGCTCAGGAGACCATCAAGCTATTTTACAGGTATAAAGATGCTGCAAACACTATATCCCTCTTGATCTTACTGACAGCCTCCTCAAGTTTTGCTTCCAATTGGGTTTCACCGATGGATTTCGATGCCAGAATTAGCTGTTGCAGGACCTCCTCAAGCCTTCTGATGGCCCTGATCAAGCTGCCCTCAAATACTTGGGTCATCTCCATGATTTGATAGAATTTGGATCCTTTGGCCCATGAATACACCGCTTCCATTATATCAGGCCGGAAAGAGTTCACAAAACTCTCCACGTCAATTTGGATCTGTCATCGGCAAGACGAGAACATTTTGTTTCAGCATTAAGATACAATTCTGGAGCAAGTCCACCTAGCTTTATAACAATTATATCAACAAACAATCCATATGATGGCTTAGTTATATCAATTACCTTGCAGTCAAGCTGAAGGTTAGCAACCCTTCTAGCTGTCTCCTGCAACTGGAAGAACAGCAAGTCGAGCTCCTCCCTTGGCTTTGGGGCATCCTGAAGCTTTTCCTGCCAAACAAAGCAAGAAAGCAGCGCTACCATCTGTTCTACTGTAGCATCCTTCAGAGTGCCGCTAAACATAAGCTCTGTCAATGTTAGCTCATCAGCAGAACTTATCTCGCATGCTACTTTGCCCTTCACTTCCACAACATCCTCACTTGTAATATATCTGTCACAAAGTTGATCCTCTGATAAGAATTTATATTTATTTACAAAAGAATGGATACAATTTGACATGCAACTAACATAGGGCATGCCAATTGGGATAGATGGTGTATGTTGTTTCTAATTTGATAGAATAATCCACTGGTTATGTAATTATGCTATGTGTTTGTCAGTTTTTATCTGGTGCCCTTGTAAAGTTGTTTTTCAGCAAGCAAAATTTATACAACAAACATGATCTATCTTATGCATGGCAATCATTAGACATGTAGACACTCATTCTGAATTCCAAATCAGCATATTATCAGAATATACGTGTCAAAGGATGCATCAAAGCATTACCCCAGTCTACGAAGAACCCGTTTTCGGGCCTTGAGCTCATCCTTGAAGGCTAAAGCAGTGGAAGACCGCATTGTTCTTTTAATGGCCTTTATTTTGGTTGATAATTCTTGCTTAGCATGCAACACTTTTAGCTTTTGTTTAATATGTGGAGAATTGTGGACATCGTGCTTCTCAAATAAACTTTCAAGAGCTTCTATTCTTCTGGAAGCTTTCCGGAAAGAGCTTGATTGTACCTGAAAAGAAAAACAAACAAGCTGTTAGAACTACATATATAGAGATAACCTGAGTGATATGCATGATTTTTTTTCTTACTTTCATATCCTCTTCTGGATCCAATAAAGGGATCCCATCTTTAGCAAACCTGGAAATAACTTCATCAACTTTCCTCAATGTGTTTTCTCGAGCTTCTACAGGCAAAAGATCCTTTGGTATGTGCATCCGAATGCTGCTTAGTCCATCAATCTGTGAATTAGACAGAAAACAGACCACTTTGCATTGTTATAAATGTTTAGAACATAAAAAGTTCACCGGTCAAATAGGAAAAGGAAATAACCTGAGAAAGTGGCAAGGAAATCACAACTGGTTCTCCACGGTCTTTCAGAGGAATAATCTTCATTGTCTTCTTTCCACTTTTGTCCTTGCTTACAGAACATCTTGTGAGAACATCAACTGTGTAATCGGAATCCTCAGGCCTCCTATCTGAATTTTTTAATAAAAAAATAAATCAGAACTCAGGAGTAAAGAGAGACACAATAGCTATAAGATGCCCCTGTCATGTGTTCTCAACCAGACAACCAGGCAGTGCTGGAGTTATACATAATGAGACTCATGAAATGCAATTTGCCGAAAAAAAGGGTCCTAATTTTTATGACGACAAAAAAATCCAGGACAGACTATCAAATATCAATCTACCACAATTAATCAAAGCTCATTTAGATTAAGTGCAAGATCATAGAAAAAATAAATGTGGTCATACAAATTTGAACTTTGAAGCAGCGATTAGTCAGCAAGCATATCTTGTGCTGGAGCCTAAACTCAGTTCCAAAACCACCTTAAAATGTCTAATTACAAGACTTGTAGGTTATATAATGGAATTGCATTGCCAAACAACTCGGGGGAAACAACTTCAACAAAAGAGAAAAAGATTACATAACAGTATGGCTCGATCAGATTTTCCATTTAAGTTTTCTGTACCTTCACTATGGGTTTTCACCTTTTCAAAGTTTATTGTAACTCCCCAAGTGATGTTTTCATCAATAGAGAAGGTGGATTGCTCATCAGTACTGTACTGAACGCGAGCAAGCCTTCCTGGTTGCAAGAAAGGTAGAACATATTTAGGAGAATGAACAATATCGCGGACATCCTTCTTTAGATTTTTGTACTGCTGCAAGAGATCATAATAACTCTTTAGGTTCTCCTCCTCCTCAATAATCATGGAATTTCTCTCTAGTTCCAGCTCCTTGACTTGCTTCTGCACAAAATTCAAATAGAGTAATACGTAAGTGCAAATATAGTGCTTCAATAACAGGGTTTTTATGCTAGTGTAATTGCTATTAATTGTGATACTAGGGCACCTGGTACTGGGCGCACTAGTTGGTTTACTGGCATTTTTTTTCCTGAGGGAAAATCAATTTTGGTATGTAATTATTAATTAGAACTGCTCACTTTACTGAATACTAAACATGTAGATCGTTTAGTAATTTGCTCATGGAATCCTCAAGCCCAAAAACTAAGCATAAATATAAATTGACAATGTCAACAAACCTCAAGATCAGGGAGAACTCGATCAGCTTGAAATTGGTAAAATGAGTGCCGAAGAAGCTTTTCAGGATCACCATCTTCACAGCGTATTTGATTTAACAACATATTGTAGCTCAAATGAAAGGCACTGATCAAGAGGAGGATAATCACATGAGAAGTTGAGAACCATGCAAAACAGGAAAAAAAATTGAACGCTCAAAACTATAAGAAACATAACAGTTCAACAAAAAGATATGCCTAAACTAACTTAAGCAATAGTATGATAGCTCAAGGTTTCTTGATATAAGGACCTGAATAGCATGCACAGAAACAGGCTACTTAATTAAAAGGATTGGTAAAGCATAACCATTGTTAATTTAGTAATAGATCAGATAGTTTCAGTCCAATGCCCAGGTTTTCTCATTAACACCATTCATCCAGGCTAAAATGCTAAGTATAAGCAGTGAATCCAGGACACTTACCTGTTCAAACTATCAGCACTTCCTTTCAGAATCATTTTGGCAGTTGAAGGTTCCATTTTCTCATCTACCATCAATATACAGATACCACGCTGATCAATACCTCGGCGACCAGCACGGCCACTCATCTGGATGTATTCTCCACTTGACAACCATCTGAATCGATCACCGTCAAATTTTCGCACATTGGTAAACACAACAGTCTTTGCAGGCATGTTCAAACCAATACTGAATGTTTCTGTGGCAAACAAGCACTACAACACAAGGTTTCAATCTCAGAAGCTAAAAGTTACAACAAAAAGGTATATCTTAAATAGATAAGGCATACAAGTGTGCTAAGCTCCATATAATAAAATTAATATTATGTTAGCATTTTATCACCAAGGTAAGTACAATGAATGGCATGGATCACAAAAGCAGAAAATAGATACCATTTTCATTTCAAATAAAACAAGCAGTTGAAATTATAATTTCATCATAATATAAAAAAAATAAGTACTTCACAAAATTTAGATCTCTCTTTCTATTCAAACCCTACAGTGCAATTGAGTGCAGAAAACTCAAACATCCTAAATATAACAGATGCACTTCACTGTTTGCAAAGGCAAATAGAAGTGCCTAATCTATGAAACTGCAAATAGTCACAGCTATCAGAATATATGTTCTTAGGTGAGCAATCAAGCACCCTTTAAGGTCATCCAGAATCATCTTGAGTAAAAGTGTAAAATATGAATCAAAACATTTGCTTCTAACTATCATTGTTCCATAGATGAGCAGTCAGTCAGTATGCTAATTGAACTGTTGATACACTTTTAGCCATAAGGCTAGGAAATAACAGCAACTGAAGAAGTCATAGGAAACATAAAATAATATAATATGCTAACCTTGATAAGGCCCTCTTGGAAGAGTATCTCAATCACTTCCTTCAAAATGGGCAAAAGACCAGAATGATGTACACCAATGCCACGTTTCAACAAGGGAAGCATGTTTGAAACCTGTGAAAACCCCATGGCTCAATTATCCCAATCGCTCAGTTATCAAAGGAACTAAATGAAAGATAAAATACAAGCACCGGTTGAAGGTATGGACCAATTAATGGTCCCTGTACTAGTAGGTAATTAGTCTGTTGATGCTGGTATAGCACGGTATCAGAGTATCTTGTGACGTGGTACTGGTACAACCTTATTAATTACTATGTCGATAGCAGTCTTCCACCAACACATATGTGCTTTAAAGTTCAAACTTTGAAGAAACAGGAAACTTTGTTAAGAAAAAGAAGAGGCCCAGAAAACCTATTGTATGGGTATAAATGAAAGATGACTGATGTATCATTTGATTGTTTGAAAAATAGTTTCCACAAGACTGTACATATACAAATGAAGTGCATAATAGCTACAGGCAATACATATCCTGTGTGCTAGTAGCTTGAGTTCAAACGTCCTGTCTTTTTGAAAACCTATCTGAATCAACTTAGCCATATAAAACAACTTACCTGGGGAAGCTTCTTATCATCATCTGAAAGCAAATCCATAGCACTCCAAAAAATTGTTTCAATGTTTGCCTTCTCATCATCATCATTCAAGTCCATCTTAGCCATCTATAGCATACAAGAAGGGCAGTAAAAAAAAAAACTAAATCGGCCCGTTTGCCAAATCAATAAAATCTTCTGTTATCTAAATCACAGTAATTTACAGAAGAACATACCTGCATAGCAAGAAATTCACACTCCCTTTTGCTAAAGCTGAAAAGTATCACTGGGTCATATTGACGCTGAATTATCATCTTCACCATCTTGAATATGTCGCTGTCCTCACTAGGTTTTCCTGTCAAGAGACCTTTCTGCCACTTCCCATTTTCCCTCTTTTTGTCATTCTCACTAGCAGGGACAAGCGCATTCAAACCTTTCTGAAAACTATCCTCTCTGAACTTGCTCTTCTCATCAACTACCAGATATAAACCATCACCTCCAGAAGGAAATACATAGTGTTGGAGAGGTGTAGGCCGGTAGTCAGTGTATACTATATGACAAGGTTGCTTATGTACCTGAGAAATAAAGCACTCTCTTATGGTCAAAGAAGATAGATCAAATGCTGATAAATGCTTGATCAAATGTGTTCTAGGGAAGCGTGGCAACAAACCTTAGCCACCCAGTCAGCAAACTCCTTGGCATTAGGCACGGTAGCTGAGAGGAACACAAAACGTGAGTTCTTAGGAGCCATCACTATACTTTCCTCCCACACCACTCCTCTCTCTCTATCACGCATGTAGTGTACTTCATCAAATATAATCCAAGCGACTTCCCTCATGACTTCTGATCCTTTATACTGCATGCTACGCCAAATTTCCGTGGTCATGACCTGCATTTTCAGATCAAGATTAAGTAACAAAACATTTAACATAGATGGGATGATTTCAAAGAATCATAAGGATACCATACCAAACAAGATGCATTTGGCTCAATAGTAACATCCCCAGTCATGAGGCCGACATCAGAGAACTCTTCTTTGAATTCCCTGTACTTTTGGTTACTCAAAGCCTTGATTGGAGATGTATAGATGACACGTTGCTGATTACGCAAAGACATTGCTATTGCATACAATGCAACCACTGTCTTTCCAGCTGATGTGTGAGCTGAGACCTGGAAACTCCCATGAAAACAAAAGTATAAAGGGGTCAATGCTGATTGAAAAACCATAAAATAACTTAAGTGGCATGCCAGACAGATGAATAAATGGCCTGTTTGGTTTCACGAGCGGGATGATGAACTCATCATTTGATACATGATGAGTTAGTTTGGATTGAGGAATGGAACAGGTTTGTCCAGCACCACCTCCACATGCTAAGCTATTGGATGAAGAATGCAGTCATTCCTCAAATTTTGTGGGATTATCCCATGATGGATCACTGATCCTAGATGGTTTGATTCCTCAAACCAAACTACCAAAGAGGACCTAAACTTAACAAGCTGAGCCAAACTCGACAAACTTATGGAGTGGCCTTTTGGTTGCATATGCACATTGTGCGACGAATGAACTCCCCAAAGGCTTAACGTAAAAATCAAAATTGATTCATTTGAGGCTAAACAGAACAACTCATCATCATACATGATAGAATGTGAGGGATGAAATATAGGGCTAAGCGGTGTAGCTGCCAAAAATTGAGCATCATCATCTTGTCTACTTTAGGCGAAACAAACCAAAAGGAAAACACGAGAGGAGCCAATGGAAATCGAAGGTAGAATGCCAGAATAAATCGAAGGTGGAGGGGATTAAATTAGCTTGCAGGTTAATGTACCATGACGGATTCTCCGTTGTCGAGGCATCGGATGGCCTCGGCCTGGAAGGGGTCGAGCTGGAACGGGAAGGTCTTGGCAGGCCCAGCACCCTCGGCGCCGCCGACGCCGTTGAGCAGGTGGGTGGCGGGGGCGGACGGGTCATAGCCTTCCGGGTAGGAGACGTCGTGCACGCAGGCGACGGGCTCGCTGCCCCCGCCGGCGAGGGAAGGCGATTCAGCGAGTGCTTCCGAGCCCCGCGGGGCCTTGGGAGGAGGGGACGCGAGCTCGGCGGCCGCGGAATCGGCCTTACGCTTGAGGGTCGCCATGGCGCGCGGCGGCGGCGACGGCGACGGCGACGACGGCGGCGGCGGCGGCGGCTAGGGTTTAAGGAGTTGCGCGCGAAGGGAGAGGTTAGCGAGACCACGCGACGATGCCATTTTTCTCCCTTTTTTTCTTCGGGTTGGTTTGGTTTGAGGCCTATATTGGCCTTATCAATATTTGGCAATTTCAATAGTGTTTATTGTCTATTTGGTTTGGAGCCAAATTTTGGCATGTCTAAGAAAATAGGCCATTTTAACAGTTAATTTAGGCTATTTCGGCTTCAATCCAAACATAATTTTTCCTTTGCCAAAATTAGCCATGCAAAAGTTGCCAAATTTGACATTGACAAAAATTGGTAAGGCAATTTAGGCCGCAAACCAAACCAGCCCTTCCTTTTTTTTTTTTTGGCTTTCGATGAAAAATAGCACGGCCCACAGAGAAAAGGCCCATGCCCACGATCCGGCCCGCGAAGCCCACAATCGAACCAAAAGCAATATAAGACCCCAAGAATTGCAAACTCTAGAATCGGAATCGCCTCGCATCCGGCACTTGCTATGGCCGCCGCCGCCGGGACTCCGCCGCCGCCGCCGCCGCACGCCCCGTCGGGCCCACTCGTCATACTCCGGTGACGCCGCGCGATGATCCCCGGCGACCACTCCTCCGGACCCGCGGAATTATCCCCCGATTGCTTTGACCCTGAAGCTCCAGGTAACCTAATCGATCTCGCGCTAAATTGCAACTTTTTTTCTCCAATTAAGGACATTGTCATCATGATGATCATACTCCTTCAATTCTTTTGTACTCCCTCCGTCCCCAAAAAACTCAACCAGTATTGGTTTTGATGTTTTCTGTGTCCATATTCGTTGTACTATAAAACGTCCCATCTAATATTAGGTTGAGTTTTTTTAGGACGGATAGAAAACGTCCCATCCAATATTAGTTTGAGTTTTTTTTTTGGGACGGAGGGAGTAATTGTCACGATTATCAGGTAATATCGTCAATAATATGACATCTCTTTTAAGGACCTAATTTTTTCTTTTAACACAAGACGAATGATCAATATTTAAATATCAGTAACGTTTGGTGACAAGTAATGGAGGGAGCATCTGTTAAACTGAGTTCGTGAGAGATCAGAGCACACCAACTGACCCAAACTCAATTTTGTTTGTGAGATATAAAACTAACAAAATTTCGACCAATTTTGTTTCCTGATTTGAAATTTGCTTCTTTTTTTAATATATCTCACAAAGTAAGTTGAGTTTGGATAATATTTTTTACATGATTTTGTACCATTATCTCATCTACGCAGGTGTGATTTTTTTCTTTTTGAATTTAGACAAATTTTTGTATCAATGTTTACATAAATTTTCATCTGGTTGGCTTCTGGCTACGTATTTATCATGAAACCTCATTATATGGCACTGACAGGTGGATCCGTGGCCATTGTATCTGACGGTTGAAGATATATTTATCCATTTAACCCCACACGCGCTATGTACTTTGCGCTCTCTCTCTCCTCTACATGACATTATCACTTTTTTTTTTGTATTTACCGATAGATGATCCAGCCACCTGCTTCGCTCACGACGAGAAGGACTTTGAGTCGAATGAAACCGTTTGGGCACTGTACGAGCGGTGGTGCAGCTTCCATAGTGCGGAGCACGACCACGATGACATGGTCCGGTGGTTCGGATGTTTCAAGGACAGAGCGCGCAGAATTATCGAGTTCAACAAGTCTAGCAAGCCTTATAAGTGGGGGGTTGGGGCCTGGGGGCTCAACATATTTGATGATATGACCCCGGAGGAGCTCTTCGAATTTGGGAATAATTAACTATTTGCCACTTTTACAAGTAGTTCTAAAGGATTTGCCATTGAACCCACACGTCATAGACACATGAGGGCCCACATACATGTCATAGATAGCGAGTGGCAAATTCTTAATTGTTATATCTTAAAAGTGACAAATAGTTAAATGTCCCCCGAATTCAAGTGTCCACTGCTCCTGCAAAGGACTTACTAATTTACCAAGAAGCACTTCAGTGATAATATAATGTTATACTGATTGATCATCTGCTAGCTACTTTAGGTTCAGCCTGAGTAATCTCTACTATACTTAAAAAGAAGCCTAGTGGTGGTCTTGAATCCTTACCAGGCAGACCTGCGAAGTGTGAACCATTCGATCTCCAAATCCAACGGCTCAGATCGAGTTACCCCTTGTTCGCACGCCCACCACATCCCCGTCGTTCGCACGCCCCTATTCCCCCGTTTCTCTTCCCCTCGGCCACCTTTAACGCCGCACCCTAATCGCCACTCGCGCCATCTCCCACCTCGTTGGTACCCTCCGGCGCCCCCAATCTCTGGTTCGTCAACCACCTCCGCGAGCGCTGCCCCCAACTTCCGGCTCGTCAACCACCTCCGTGCGCGCCGCGGGAACACCAACGACCACGCCGCCACCGATTCGGAGTCGCCTTGACGACATCTCATCAGATACTAACTGTTATCCAGTGAAAGTTATCCTTAGCAAAGGTATATTGTTACACACTTCTGCTTCCATATTTTTCGCTTTTCTCTGAGGAATATCTGGCATTATATTGTCATTTCTATGCTTTTTGCATCAACATTGTATCCTACAACAAAATTTACTGTTTAGACTGGACTATATGAGATTCCTTTCAAATGTAGTTTGCACTCTGAATTACAGAATTCTGTTCAGTAAGCCAAACATAAAGTTCAAGATGATATTGTGTGTATAGCCATGTATTCTTAATACATAATCAGGACCAACATCAATGCCAAGCTCAGTTGTATTTCTACGTGATATCGCATTTCTTTAGCATGCACCGAACATTTGTCAAGTCCTCTTTTGACAATCTGTGATGGATGGGTAAAACTGTAAATGTAGTTTACCTACTGTATGTTGAACCATTTGACTTATTTGGAATTTGGACATAGGAGTATCATGTCCATCACAGTATTAGATCCATATGGTTATTCTGGATGGTTATAGACCTACAGAATGATAGTATTGCAGATTTGCAGTGATGTGTCCACTGGATTTTTCGCTATTAGTTGGTTTTGTAATGTTTTGCAGCTTAGTACTGATTTTTCGCTATTAGTTGGTTTGTATTTGTAATGTTTTGCAGCTTAGTACTGATGTTAGCAGATTTCTGAGGTTCTGCTTTAGTTCAGATTTCCAATTGCAGTTTAGAATTTTTTGTAATCATGTAGTTGCAGTCCAGTTTCCAGTGGGGTACTGAATTTCCACTTGAGTGGAGATCGTCTGAACTGAAAGCCAACATTTGAGCTCATGCTATTAGCCTATTACTGTATCAAATAAAACTTTGTTCTTTATCAAAGAAGCCTTATCAGATTGGTGGATCACCACCACCGACGGTAGGTAAGCTCCATCCCTTTTGTTCTATCCAAAATTCCACGAAGATCAGGTTATGGAATGAGATGAACTAATACATCTGGATTGGTGAGATCAGGGTGAATGGGGATGTTTTTTTTTTCAGTTTTGGGATGTTTCTCATTTAAGTGTGATGGTTATATTGAACTATAATGCAGGCAACACTGGCCCTTGATGTTTTTTTCTGAAACAAAAACTGTCAGATTATATCGATCAATCAGTATTAACTTTGGCAACATAATAGGCTCACGGGGAAAGGAAACTCCCTCACGGATTCTTCAATTAGGAGGGACTGCATATTCAGGTACTGTATATTGTGCCTGTATGTTTTTATTACATTTTGCTAAAGGGATACTCATTAAATTGAAGTACATGATTGTGGGAGGAGAACATGTGAAATGCACATTGCTGCCTTTTTTTTATCAGATAACCGTTCATATGTAGGTTTCAGATATGCTTTGATGGTATCATATCCTTCTTATATACTTCATCTCATAAGGTTCCAACGTACACTTCTATACTTTAACAGAAAAGGTTTTTATAACTGCCATGCTGCTGCTTGAAATTAAAAAACTTGACAAAATATTTTGTATCATTTAACAGAAGAAACAAGAGATTTCCAATATACTCTCAACCTGCCTGCAAGTTATTTTCTATTATTTATCTTATTGGCAAATTACTCTGACAAACTCATTTTTAGTTATAGAATGGAAATTTTTGTACTTTTGGTCCTCTTATTTTAAATCATGTCAAACGTTCAAAGGTTTATGTTAAGTGGTGACTTGATGGGATTTTTTTTTTTCTTCAGCCGCTCTCTGCTGCTTAGTGGATACTGGATTTGATTTATGCAATGATCACATCAGAGAGAAATATTATCTGATAGACAATCAAGAGGTTTTAGGTTTTCAGATAAAATTTAGATCATTGCTCAAAAAGAAAACAACATAGTGCTTGGTTACTATGCAGTCCCTTCTGTAGCAAAACTAGCAATACATCATGCCAAATAATCAACTTGGAATTCAATGTTGTGCCTTCTATAAGAGAGTTAAATAGTTTAGAAGAATATGGGTCAGAATTATTATTATTGATTTGCTTCTGTTGTTTGCTACTGTACCATCCTATTCTGTTAATGTACAGTAAATTGTGTAATTTTATGTAACAATTAAATCTGAATACTATTATAACAATGGTATCTTGAAAATTTTGTAGTATTGAAAACCACATTCTGAACATTAGTGCAAGTTCAGTTTTTAATTTTCTGTTTGAAGTTCAAGTTAAGAAATCCTCATTCTTGCTATGTATCTTACCTATTTCAGTACATGCACCAAGTTTTTTTTCTTCATTTTCTTCAGTACAGTCTACTCATCTACTTTGCTGGTAGCTTTTGCATGTCATGATCCCCACATCATGATGTACAATTTTCAGTTTTAGATGCCAGTTTTGGTGTGAGGAACTAAATTGAAACTGAACAGTGATTTTCCAGAGTTGCGGTAAAGCTCTAAACAAGTTAGTTCTACCATGGATAACAATAGTGGCGGTTCCGCACCAACATTTTTTTCATAGACAACACACAACAGAGTTATAAAAAAAATTAGAAAGCAGTAAATTCTGAATTATGTTGCCATTTAGAACGGTAGATCTACCATTTTAGTATGCTTTCTATTTTAATATATTTTTCTTGGGTGATGACTTCAACATGCTAGCACCCTTTATTTTCATCCTAGTCACTGTGTGTATGCAATATGGATGTGTGTTGGCTGGTGGATGTGAAAGTGGTAGTGATGTGGCGGAGATAGGGGGAACTTTTGGTGCAAGTTGTTGTGCCCACGTAACTATGTGACGCATAGTGTGTGCATGCGTGCGACTGGAGGAGAAGGGTGGAAACCCATGAGCCAATCAGACACGGGGAGACCAGCACTGATAGGAGAAGTAGTAGACCAATCGTTCTCGGTGCAGCACGGTGGAAGGAACACATAGTGAATGGTCCATGGAAACCGTGACATCTGGATGGATGGACATGGACTCTGAAGTCTGCCCATGCGAGCGGGCGGCATGCTATTCGGCGGAATGATTTTGGGATCCAGGGCCAATTGTTAGGGCGTCTAATTCCGTGAAGGAAGATTGGATCATTGTGCGTGGATTGATTTACGGGATGGAATTAATTGAAATAAAGGCTTACTAAGTTCTGTCATCACCAAATTACATGAAGCTGGTGAATTATTTACTCTAATCATCGTAACCCTACCAAATTTTAGTACTACCTTAGGCGCGAGCTGATTGTCTGAAGTGATAAGCAAAATAGAGTGTTGACATGGACTGAGAGGCTAACTAAATACATAGATAGTCACAATGGAATTAAACAACATAGTAGATCGAAAATTCAAAAAGAAGATTGAAAAAATCATTCGACTTACCAATTCATCAATTAGTATAAGCCGGATTTGTAGATCGCCGTAAAAATTCTCATGCAGATGCCCTATCCAGACGACCCTCGCACAGACAATCCACCATTTTCAGTGTATGTGATCCATTTGTACCTCGTGGAACCGAACAATTCTGCATAGGGAACACAATATACACAACATGATAGCGTTGCATAATCCATCAACAGAAGAAACAATAGAATGAAGTAAGAGTGACCTCCATGGTTGCCACGGCTACGCCATTCTCCATATTGTGTGCTAATCAGTAGTTTGCAATGCACCGGATCTGTAGCAACGGTTATCTTTTTTTTAAGTTCATTATCCAGGAAAAACAATAATATTGAAGGCAACCACCGGTAGCTAAGGCGGACGACGGCGACAACTGATTATTGTTTTTCCTAGATAATGAACTTTTTTTTTGAAAAAAAGATAACCGTTGCTACAATCCAATGCATTGCAAACTACTGATTAGCACACAATATGGAGAATGGCGTAGCCGTGCAACCATGGAGGTCACTCTTCCATCAGTCTATTGTTTCTTTTGTTGATGGATTATGTAACACTACCATGTTGTGTATATTGTCTTTCCCATGCAGAATTGTTCGGTTCCATGAGGTACAAATGGATCACATACACTAGAAATGGTGGATTGTCCGTGCGAGGGTTGTCTGGACAGGGCATTTGCATGAGAATTTTTACGGCGATCTACAAATCTGGCTTATACTAATTGATGAATTTCTAAGTCAAATGGTTTTTTCACTCTTTTTTTTTTAGAATTTTCGATCTACTATGTTGTTTAATTCCATTGTGACTAATCTATGTATTTAGCTAGCCTCTCAGTCCATGTCAACACTTTATTTTGCTTATCACTTCGGACAATCAGCTCGCGCCTAAGGTAGTACTAAAATTTGGTAGGGTTACGATGATTAGAGTAAATAATTCACCAGCTTCATGTAATTTGGTGATGATAGAACTTACTAAGCCTTTATTTCAATTAATCACATCCCGTAAATCAATCCACGCACAATGATCCAATCTTCCTTCACGCAATTAGACGCCCTAACCATTGGCCCTGGATCCCAAAATCAACGCATTTTCCAGCAAATAGCATGTCGCCTGCTCGCATGGGTAGAGTACATGTCCATCCATCCAGATGTCGCGGTTTCCATGGACCATTCACTGTGTGTTCCTTCCACCATGGCGCACCGAGAGAACAATTGGTCTCCCGGTGTCTGACTGCCTCATGGGTTTCCACCCTTCTCCTCCAGTCGCACGCATGAGCACACTATGAGTCACATAGTTATGTGGGCACAATAACTTACACCAAAAGTTCCCCCTTTCTCCGCCACATCACTACCACTTTCACATCCACCATCCAACGCACATCCATATTACATACACACAGTGGCAAATCTAGGATGAAAATAGAGGGTCCTAGCATGTTAAAGTCATCACAGAAGAAAAAAATATTAAATAGAAAGCATACTAAAATGGTAGATCTATCATTCTAAATGGCAACATAATTCAGAATTTACTATTTTTTTATAATTCTGTTGTGTGTTGTCTATTAAAAAAATGTTACATTGTCCGTGCCTAGTATTAGTAGCAGCAGCTAGTTCCAGGTGGCTAGCTGTTTCTTTCTTGCTCTACCTCATCTTTTCTCGTATGTCTCTACGCTTCTCTAACTGAGTAGCGTAAGACTTACAAGGACTAAAGTAAGCCTAGGACCCAGGACAAGGCCGAGCCTGAGGCGGATCTTGTGTTACATACTTATCCCGTAAGTAGATGAAGGTGGGCTCGGGACCCACCAAGGTGGGACCCTTAGCCGCACAATATGGGTGTAGCTTTTTATTTTTGAGGATGGTTTAAGCATGCCATTTATTTTATTTGTAATTGTTTTGCCCCTGGTTGCCATTTCACCGTCAATTCCAATCTCTTGGAAATTTCTATTTGAGTCTATCTCACTCATCCATTCTGACTTTTTTTGGCAGTTCATTCAAACGGTTATTTTTGTGTTTCATAATCTTCTATTTTGCATATGAATTCCTACCAACATAATGTGTTTTCATATTTCTTTATTTTACCATTCCCGTGTTTCAGATGGGCCTAATCAAAGTCCATTTTTCATTCTAAGTTACAAACCCAATTATTTTTATCCCCAACTTATAAAACCGGATAAATACCACCATAAAACCATATTTTACGATGTTATTGACAAATAAGATAGTGCCTTTCTTCTAACATGAACTTGAATTAGGAAAGTGAGGAAAACCCTAGAGAGAGATATTAAGATCATGTCAGGGACTGAGGGGTAAAACCATGAACTGCCTACTTTTATGGTTTAACCCCAGCATAATAGCAATTCGACTCCTATTGTACAACATAATCGTTGAACTTCTATTTTTGGTACGGAAAGTAGACAACGCGTGAAGGTGTATGCAGGAGCGTATCCATCGTTAGGGCTTGTTGAGTCTAGAGCCCTAGCTCGCCAAGCAGATCCCCAGGGAGAGCAAGAGTAGACTAAGGTCTGCCTTAGACCCGACCATGTCCTAGGTCCTGGGCTCACCTTAGTCCTCATAGGTCACATTTCCTGCAAGGAGTGGAGGGTGGAGACATATAATTAGAAGGTATAAACTAAGGTCTGCCTCGATCCAGGCCTCGTCTTGGGATCCAAGCACGCCTTAGTCCCTGTAGTTTCCGCATTATTCTGCAAAGAAGAGCGTCAAAACATACTAAATAACTACATTATCTATTCATCAAAGACATCTTCGAGAAGCTCGCCTAAGAATAGATGAACTATCATCACAAAAAGTGCACTTGCGCAACCTCATGGCTGGCTGGGGAAATGGGCGCGCTCCATGGGTTGTTGTGAAGCGGTCCTCTCCGCCATAAATGAAACAGGTTTATGGGGAGCCCCAGCCAGCCTGGAGCTGAAAGAACGTAGCCAAGACACCAGCGCTGAGTCATTAGCGCCGGTGAAGCCTTGGATGCATGTTGAACATGCCCTACGCCACCTGATTTAGCCAAACGGACAAAAGCGAGGCCGTGGCGCTATTTCAGGCAGCCAGGGTTCCACCAGGGCCACCACTCGTCACGTGGTGGGATAGCTGGCGCGACCCAGCTATCCATAGAAGCCCGGGTACCCCGGGTAATGCATGTTTCAAATCTCAATAGGGTTTCTTGAAGACTGTGTTAGGGAACCAGCTATCAATGACAAGATGGCTGATAAGACATGACAAGGAGTAGATTTGTAATAATGTGAGCCCCTGATTATAAAAGGAACGGGGCAAGCTACGGATGGGGGGTTGGACTCTTTAGATCGGTATACTTCACTTTGTAGCCCCAAAAGGCCTTCTTTGTACTCAACTGATCTAGGGAAGACAACGAAACTAACACAGGAGTAGGGTATTACACCTTCGGGTGGCCTGAACCTGTATAATTCCTGTCTTTTGCTTTGTGGGGAGCTCGAGCCCCGTAGATCCGATCTTGCTTTGATATCTTTCTACACCATTCACCACAAAACCCCTGGTCGAAACTTCACACCTGGGGAGGGGTCTCCACTCCCCGTTGTCCGAGGAATCGCTCCCTCAACAGGAGTTGTGGCTAATTTTCCTCCAAAACCAATATGCATTGATTCTCAAAACATAGGAACTTGAAAAACACAATATTAGAATGTCATCACCTCTTGAATCCTTAGGAATAAAAAACATAGGAAAAGTACACATAAAACCATTTGGATGGAGCACAGGAGAAACAAAAGATTTGGAAAAGAGACAAAGGAAATTTTCCAGAGGTTAGAGCTCATGCTAGAATTCTTCAAAATTCCCATGA